CCATCTCACCAGCCCCATCCTTATCTGTTCTTACAGCTCCATTTGGCTTCACCTTGGGTGGGTGGCTAGCGGACCATCACAGTGAGACTATTTCTTGGCAGTCAGATGGGCCTTACGATGCAGCTCTAGCTACGAGAATGTGAGCTGAGATAATAGAACTACTCGCAAATCTGGTCCATAAAACTTCTCTTGTACCATTTCCCATTTTTTTGGCTTAACACACATAGCACATTTGGATTTGTGAATGAAAGACAGTAGAGGCCTGAAATAAAAAGTTTGGATTCCCAAGTTAGCTTTCATCTAGGAGCACCTTGTTAACACTGTGTAAGAGAGAAGTTTCTACACTATATTAAGGCACTGAAACATGAAGTTTATGCTCTACAGCAGTGTACATTCCCCAAATAATACATGCACTGTTACATAATCTATCAGCCAATCCTTTTACGGGTGAACATCTGGACTACTACTGGTCTCTATTACAAACACTGGAATGAATAACCTTAGACACACACTGCATGGCATGTGTGCTGTGCAGGTATTTGAAGTTAAGTTCCCAGAGCTGAAAACTGCTGGATCAAAGGATGTATGCTTTTGTCATGTCGAGAGCTCTTGACAAACGGCCCTCCATGGGCCAATCTGTACTTTCCTTGGCAATACAGAGAATACTTATTTCCCTACAGCTTGTCACCAGAGAGAATAATCAATTTTTGGATTTCATTCCATCTGATAGATGAAAATTTACGTAGCTTTTTTATTTTTTATTTTATTTTATTTTTTTTGGCGGAACCGGGGATTGAACTCAGGCCCTTGAACTTGCCAGGGAAGCACTTATTCTACTGAGCCATCTCCCTAGCCCCTACGTAGCTTTTTTAATTTGTATTTTCTTCAAAAGGGGACATATTGTTTATTCATTATTTGTCTTTTTGAGACAGGGTCTTACTACGCAGCACAGGCTGGCCTTGAGCTCACTGTGTAGCCCAGGCTGGTCTCGAACTCGCAACAATCCTCCTGCCTCAGCCTCCCAAATGCTGTGATTACAGGTATGTGCTACCAGGCCTGGAAAGGGGACATTTTAAATAAATGTTCCCACCTGGGCTGCAGCCCACTGTTCCCTGAGGCCTGTCTCAGGCTCCCAGGTGTGTGGACCAACACTTTAGTCCTGGGACCCCTGCTTCTTAGCAGGGGGCTGACAACACTAAACAGTTAGCAAAGCACTCCAATTTCCACTAGGCAGATGCTTCTACCTAGAGGTCATCGCTAGAGCCTTTAATGGAGGTTTTCTAAGAGTCTTTGGGGCACAGAACACAGGTTTTGATATAAAAAAGGCCCAGTTTAAGGTCTGTTTCCACCACTTACTTAACTCTAATTCTGGGTAGATACTTAGCCAAAGGACCATTGGTTTCTCTCAATGTACACAGATTATTGTTATTATTATTATTTATTTATTTTGCAGAACTGAGGATTGAACTCAGGCCCTTGCGCTTGCCAGGCAAGCATTTATTCTACTGAGCTAACTCCCCGGCCCTGTTATTATTATTTTTGTGGAACTAGGGATTGAACTCAGGCCCTTGCGCTCGCCAGGGAAACGCTTATTCCACTGAGCCATCTCCCCGGCCCCTATAATGTTGACTTTATAAATTTGTGTGAAGGATCTGATCACATTGAATATTCAAAATGCAGTGCATTCTTACTTCTGTGGTGGAATATTACATGGCTATTAAAAATCATGCCATAGAAAAGCATTAGTGTAAGAATAATCTCATGCTATTTGCTAATAGGGAAAAAAGAGGCCAAAAAATAGCTTGTTTTAAATGACATATTGAGGGCCGGCCAAATAGCTCAGTGAGTGCCCACTTTGGCAGCACATATGCAAATAGCTCAGTGAATTACAGCACCTGCAAGCAAGTTCAGGGGCTGGGGGTTTAATCCCCAGGCCTGCCATGCCAGCCCCAACGCCAGGGCATGCTGACACGGCTATTAAGACTGGGCATGTTGGCACGTACCTGTAATCCTAGCTCTTGGGAGGCTGTAAACAGGTGGATCACTAAGAGTCTGATCTAGTAGTGAGACTCACACTTCTAATCCCAGCACTTGGGAGGCTGAGGCAGAAGGTTTAAAGTCAGCCTGAGCTATACAAGTGAGTTCAAGGCCAGTCTGAGCTTAACAGTGAGAAAGACAAACATACATATATTCCTAGCCACTTAGAGGAGGCTGGAGGATCACTGTTATGGCTTGTAACTAGATTCCCTCTGGGCTTTTTAGAGGTGCCTGGATCTAGGGTGTATGATGCTGAGATTAACTGTGTGATGTTGGAATTAAACTGTGGCTATGGGTGGCATGGTCCAAGGGACAGGTAGCCTGGAAGAAATACAAAGGCAGACTTGCTGCTGCATGCTGCCTTCTCTCTGCCCTGCCACACCATCAACTGTTTTTTCCTCTGCAATTCTCCTTTGCCAACTATCCTGCCTTGGAGCCTGTCAGCTATGAAATGGAACCTCTACAAACTGTGAGCCAAAATAAAGCTTTCCTCCTTTAATTTTGGGTGTCAGGTATTTTGTCTCAGCCATGAAAAAAGTAGCTATGATAACGACCAAAGTCAATCCCAGTCTGGGCAACTTGGAGGCAGGAGGTGATGCAAGTACTGGGGATTGAACCCAGCAAGAGGTCCTCATTTCAATCCCCAGTACTTCCCATGCATACAATGTACACATGCATATATGAGTTAGGTAGGTAGGCAGGCAGGCAGGCAGAGATGGATAGATACACATGATTTTGTTTTGTTTCTTGTGGTACTGGGGACTGAACTCAGGATCCTGCACTTGCCAGGCAAGCGCTTATTCTACTAAGCTATCTCCCCAGGCCCGATATACATGTTAATAAATTTTAAAAAACTAGAAAGACAAACAAAAAAATTTCTTTTAAGTTTTTTTCCCTCTTTTTGATTTCTTGGTTCTCTGAATAGAGCCTGAACTACTTTTGAAATTGGAAAAAGATTAGGTGGGGGTGGAGACTGTACCTTCATAGGCATCCAACCCCACAGCCAGGGTGTGTGCTGGTTGATACACTGTGTCCCCTTGAGAAGTTTAGAAGTTTAAGTAAGTGACTCAGCAGAGAGGCAGGATTCTTACTTTGTAAACATCCTTATCCTGTGCAAGAGGAGGGCATGGACATTGTTCCAGTTCTGCACCCTACTCCAGAGTAGCCTGCTTGTAATACAAGGAGGGAGAGAGGCTTGATAGAAGCCGCATCTGCTGCCCTCCTTCCCTTTGTTCTTCACTGTTTTCTGCTGCCTCTGCCATGTGCTACTCTCCTTGGGAGCCAACTGAGTATAGACTGAAACCTCCACAAACTGTGGGCTAAATAAACCTTTCCTTCCATAATTTTAGGTGTTGGGTATTTTGTCCCAGGAACGAGTAAAAAGTAACTGAAACACAGGGAGGTTTCATATCCCTCTGGGGAAGGTGCCAGAATTTCCTCCCCAGGGGAAGGAATTAGCTGCTGTAGGCAGACACAGGTTGTTTGCCACCCCACAGCTCTTCCCTGGAGAAGAACCATCTCTCCTCTACCCACATGGGAACCTTAATCCCAGAGTTCAGGTTCCCAGGACCCAGAAGTGGATACAGGTAGGCCAATCACAATACCCTCTTCCTCTAGCTTAGTGATTAGCTGGGGATGGTGGAGAGGATGTGATCCACACCCAGAAAACCTAGAAGCAAATCAATTTATCTATCTATCTATCTATCTATCTATCTATCTATCTATCTATCATCTTGTGATACTGGGGATGGAACTTAGGGCCTTCATACTGAGCTATATTTCTAGTCCCTTTTAATTTTATTATTTATTTGTATTTTTTTAGTACAAGGTCTCACTACACAGATAGGACTCAGTGATTCTCCTGTTTTCAGCCTCCCAAGTGCTGGGATCATAGGTACGTGCCATCACACCCAGTCTCAATTGCCATCTTAGTGCGCCCCAGGGGTGGGGCCA